TTTGCAATATAATATCCACGTACATGTATCATAGATAAAGAGGTGCGCTTGGGGACTGACCCAAATCGCCTGCATCACACTTGCCAAACAGTTATTTTGCCAAGTGAGTTACGAGGACTCGTATTTTCCGACACTGCCTCAGCTGAACTTCGGACCTGCTTGGCCGCTGTCCGACTTTCTCTAGGAGCAATATGACGCCATTCAGCAAATTCCTCCGATTTAGTAATCCGGTTGAGTTGTTTCGATTATTGAGATTGCCTAATTCAACTTGTTTGATGCAATTTGCCGAACGTACTCGACAGAAGCCGCTCTCTAGATCTTCTACCTACACAACACCTACTTACCGCAAATCGGAAAGATAAAACACTCACTTTTCTTACTACTGGATCGTTCAGGGATGTAAATATATCATTGTCACCCGCCAACTAGTATTTCTATTTTCTGGCAGCTGAACACATTGTAGCAAACGGCACTCCATTCTTGAAATACCCTTATGCAATGGCGTGCACTGTGAGCGGTATTTCTGTTCCCGAATCGGCTTCCCATGCTTCACTGCCAAGCATATCCATCCCAAGACTACTGAAGCAACACTAATTCGAATCATCACTAAAAAAACAAACCATCGATGGAATCATGGGGGCGATGTTCCTTAGAGGATTACCACCTTACTATTTGAGTCAGTTTTCATATTCTAACTTTTGTCCTTGATTTATTTCTTGCACGCGCATGGGAAGAGTGCATTTCAGTTTATTTGAGTAAAATGTGCATTTAATGGAATCCTTGCTTTGCCATTTTAGTCATGATGTCGGGTGAGTGAAACAGAAATGGATAGCTATTCACAAGGTTGCTTAAAACTCTTCAGCAAACTTTTGAGTCGTGTCCTTTATGAAAATAAAATGCGATATCTCGAATATCGGGCCAACTGAAACATGAGGCGGCACATTCAGTAGAATAATATCATAAACGGGAGATTCAGTTGAGTCTCTCGTGATAACCAAATTGATTTGCAAATGAGTGTATTTCCCAGAAACGGATAAGTTTTCCGATTGATCTATTAGACAGTTTTTCGAACTGACGAAGTGATTTATCATTAGATTATTACATGTCTGATAGAAAAACATCGGGTGGTGGTGTATCAGACCCAGGTGCAATGGTATTTTGTACATGTAGATTTCTGCCAAATCAGGTGTTGGGTTCACATTAGGGAACACTGAAGGTCCCCGATACAAGGGAATGTACTTTGGAAGTCATTGGAATTCCTTGCTTACGCTTTTAGGCAAATCGACCTGCTTCTTGCTGAGTCGCATCAAACGGCACGGTTTGGAATAAGGACAGACGAAGTTTTTGGACATAGGTGGGGTCTGCCACAAAATGGGGCTTCGGCTGAGGGTACCAGTTTATAAAGAGAAAGTTGAAAAAAGGGGAAGAACAGTCGAGTTGGNTAACTAATGGAAAGTTCTTGAGAATGTTACAGTGAAAAAATGAAGGTAACTGTTTCATGATGGTAAGTACCAGACACCCTATCGGGACTGATTGCTATTCAACTATATTCCCCTTTCCAAGAAATACCCCCAGGAAGAGAGGCCATTTGCCTGAAGGACCTCTACGGTGTTCCCCATCAGTCATGACTGAGTAAAAACTCTTCAAAAAGTGTCAATTCGCAAAGGAAACCGAAATGGTCGCTTTTCACTGGCTTCCTTTCTTTGAGGGGATTACGATAGTCCCAGGTTGACAAGTCGTTCAAAGAACCAGTTCGCTGCATAAGCGGCGTCAAAATGCACTTGATCTTTTGACCAACAGTGTGCAAAATGAAGTCAAAACGTTGTTTGACCGATCTATCGAAACTCACCTGGTGCGTTTCAACAGATGGCGAAAGGCACAACACTTCGGGGATTTTTAGAAAGGTACCATAGTTCTTTAAAAAACGCTGTCTGGAAGGCTCGCCGGAACAACTTATTTTCGGTTGTTGTTTTGGTCAAAACGGAACAACGACTAGGTTTGCTTTTCTTGGGTCCCATGTTAGGTGGCTTCACTAAACGACAACGAGCGCCGAAGCCATGTCCACAGTGGCTGTCAAGGTATGCGGAACTGTATATCCTCTTCCGTAAGTAGCAACGTGGTCAATAATATTAGTGCCGGGATAATCTCAGAGGCTATGTCTCCTGCAAACTGCAGTGTTCCATTGGAAGATATTGGGCGGCCCATTCTCCCGTACATAATGTCCAACTTGCTGCTTTGGGAGAATCACAGAAGTGAAGATTAAATTAACTGTCATTCAGCAGAACTGGACGTGACCTTAAAATTTTCTCGGAAAATTTGTGAATTGACCTTTCTTGATGTGTTAGTTACTAGAAATACATGGTAGTATGAAGCGTCTCGAGGCTACAGCAGGTGTTTATCCTTGGTCGATTTCGCCTACTGTGTTTCAGATGTGCTTCCGTTGTATTAGAGAAGATCTTGAATTCAAAAAGCATTACACGGCTATCTATACAATTTTGCACGAATGAATTATTCTTGCTGTTATGTTTGATGATAAGTTCACTCGCTCAGTTTCAACGAATAAGCGGTCCATCCTTCTTTCCGTCTGGTTACGGGATTACCGGGGATTATCGGAGAACTGTTTTGTAACACAGCACACTTCCAGGCTTAGGCAAACGAAAGTTGGAAGCGACTTTGGAACAGTACACGAGTCACGCTGCTTTTCACGCAACTACATCACCTGATGAGATTGTGGCGTGAAAGAATTGTCTGCACGTTACAGTCGAACGCCAATTTTAGAAGTTATTTCAAAATTCCACCAGATGGGAGTCAGTTAGATGATTGCACTAGTCCTCGACCAGCCCGACTAATTTAGTGGGAACTGCTCATCTACGCCCACTTTTTTGCTTCATCGTAAATCTGCGTAAACACAGCCTCTAGTCACTGAAAAGCGTTTAGGGTTATCTATTCACCGCCTTCTGATAGTCAGGGTAGTCCCGCCAGGAATATCCGTTTGTAGCGAATATACACTCATTTGCAAACTAATTTGGTTCTTTCGAGAGACTCACCTGGAACCCCGCTGAGTCCCCCGTTTGTGATGTTCCCAGGCAAATTAATGTGCTGCACCAGGCCGCCTCATGTTTTAGTCGCTACGATATTCAAGATATCGCAATGCACGTATATTCGCAACGCAGTACTCATAAGGTTGCTGAAAATTCGTCAACAGCCCACGACCGGTTTCGCCCTTCCGCTTGCGGCTCATCAATAGGCGCAGTTCCACGGGTTTCCGTCAACCTTATGTTCCACTTGAAGCCAAATTGCACGAAATTAGCGAATATACACTCATTTGCAAACTAAGTTGGTTTTTCGAGAGACTCATCTGGAACCCAGCTGAATCTCTCATTTGTGATGTGGGCTCTCGACTGATTTTCAGCAACCTTATAAGTAGTGCATTGCAAGATCAGTTTCTGGTTTCCGACTTTTCATAGGGACATGATAGCTCAACACATCAAACCACACCACAAAAAACTTTAGGCCTTGTTCGAGACATCATCTCCCGGGTAGTTTACGTGAAACGTCTTCGTGAAATGCTGAAGACCGTGGCATATTCTTGGAGGGTTTCCCAGTGAGGGCTTACTGCACAATTCTTCTCAGCTGAGTTTTCTATACCAATAATTCAAATTATTGTTAGATATCTTACGAAATACTCAGTTTACCAAAAGAGCAATGAAATGGTAAGTCGTCGGGATCTGTACCATGCAAAGCACGGGGTTGGGGAGGTTGTGGCAAATGTTCTGATTAACTAGGAAATACTGTAAAAAATTGAACCCATATTCACATAGTTTAATGTTATGGGGGGTGCCAGACTTATACATCAGCTTCTAATGTACCGGAATTTTCTACCTAGTGCAGTTTGACTCCCATTCACATTTAACTGAAAGAATTTTCGCGTTTTACGTACTGCTTCAAATTTTGTATAAAAAAGTTTTTTTCTGACCGTTTTACTAACAAAAGCCTTCAAATGATAAGCCCAAGTGCCCACTGTTTCAATGAAAGGGGATACTAAATTCTTCATTCTAGAGGAGCCTTGAATAATCCTTCTTTAGAAACCCAAATTCTCTGAGGCTGATTTTACGGTGCAAAGGCTACATAGTTTGTAATCTGAACTAAGCCCAGTGTGGCTGGAAAGTCGGTATTCACAACATGTTTACCCGTTTGCTCTTAAACTCAGCTGGCGAAAATAAAAAAAAAACAGCTAAAAGGGAATGATGAAAAGTGTCAAACGTTTGTTCCTCTTCACTGCAGGGTATAAAGGACAAGTCGGAGTGCCACCTACTCACACTCTTAAGCGCTTTATTTTTTATCAATGTCGCAAATATACCTTTGGTTCACACCGATTTGGGTTGTGAATAGACCTCGAAAACAAATACCTGAGTTTACCATCCATGAATAGTTACATAAAATACAGCCATTTGTAGGGGTTCATCAGTGATCCGCTTAAAGACGGTTGCTATAGAAGGGGTGAGTGTTAAATTGGTATTTTGTAGGAACCAAAATATATGTTACTAAAACCAAAGCGGATTCAGTGACTCTAGGTGATGGTGTGAGACCTTCGCTCTGTTTCCCTTTTTGCTGCCAATAGGCTAGAAGATCGGAAACTCATGTGAAAAAAAAACTTGAATTCTGTGCAATATAACAAACCGAGCTCAAGTCCGTTGTTTGATTCTCTTTTGACTCATTCAAGCGATTCTACACCATGCAGAATGGTCAATTGCCGCGAAGACTAAGCAATGAGTCCCCAATTAGTTTATTTAGGAGAAAGTTATACTGCTTCAAACGATTCATCTGTATAGTTGACTCTCGTTACATAGCTTTCTCTTGTTGTTATGGCCCGAAAGAGACTTCTCGAGTGTTCTCCCTCAATGAACAAGAACAACAGGAATCAGACAGGTCCGAACTAAGGCGGCCGTCCTGGAACGCTGTTCACTGTACAATATCAAGTTGCGGAGGCTAGAACTTACCATAAATGACGATGCACCATGTAAACACGATTGTCACAAGCGTTGTATGCTTCATGGTCATCACATTTTCAGAACAATGCACAATTAACAAGAACCCCAGGAAAAATGCAGTCCGTCCGGTTAGGAAGTTAGCTTGAACGCAACTTTTAATCCAGAGGTTTCGGAAGAAACATTACATGAACTACTTTGAAAATCTCCACACTGCAATCGCTCAACACATCATCGCTGAGCTATGGTTTATAGATTCACCGAAGTAGTTTGACGATAACACATAGATATTGAGTAGTTGTTTTCAGTTGCAGCGAAACTGCCAAACAGTATGGTTATAAAGAAAGTCTGCTGGCTAGGGTAATGATGAAACACTGTCAGGTTGTGTGCACTCGCAGATGTGCGTGCGGCTACACACATGTTCTAATCGAGACTCACTGGCGACTCATATTTGTTGGACCAGAGAGCTATGCTGCTTCGTGTACGTGTGTGTGCTACAGAATGTCAGACTGCGATATGTATGTGAAAGAACCTTGAAACCAACTGAAACTTTCATATCACTACAGCCTAGCACATGTTAAAGCAGCACCGAACCCGCATTCCTTGCGGCACTGGTATGTGGGTTGTTTGTTGAGTTGCGTGGCCCACGATTTTCTGTGCTCAGTTTCAGACATGAAAGTTGTGACCGTATAAGTGAGGCCACGTTTATGGGTGGTACTCATAATAAGTTCTGATATTCACAACACCGTTTAGAGACGGATTTGGCATTTGGCCCATCATCTGTTTACTGAGATGGACAAACTGACTGCAAACGTGTCTCAACTAATCTAAGTAGCATGGTAGCGGTGCATCGAAGTGTTGGTGGATAGAGCAGAGTAACCATTGGTTAGGAAGGGCTTAGTTAATCAACTCACGGACTGGGAACATGATCATTATAGGATAGCGACTATCCATGGCCTGTGATACTGAGGTCCCGAATACATTCTCCAGGACTTAGAACATCTTCCCTGATGTCAATGGGTGCATCGAAGTGTTGGTGGATAGAGCAGAGTAACCATTGGTTAGGAAGGGCTTAGTTAATCAACTCACGGACTGGGAACATGATCATTATAGGATAGCGACTATCCATGGCCTGTGATACTGAGGTCCCGAATACATTCTCCAGGACTTAGAACATCTTCCCTGGATGTCAATGTACCTTACGGGTGGTTATCATATCCAGTGGTCCCGGATTAATGAACATAAAAGCTTTTACTAATGAACTGTTCTTCCGACCCCCGATTACGAAGTGAACCACGAAATCGTATTCATGTATATGCTTTGTGGTCATGGTAATCTCTATAGCATTGCTTCATGTAAAATAGCAAATGGTCTCGACCCGAGAATAAAAAATACCACTGCTGACAAACGGGTTGTTTATTCACTTGAAGCATGTTCAATAAACACACCAAGATAAAGCCGAAATATGAACTTCTTAGTGAAATTTTCAAGAGTGACTACCATAAAGGCGCGAAGCCTCTGTTTGTCTATTCTGTCTATTTAAAAACAATGAGCACTGCAGAGTTGTCTCGCGTTTAATGTGAACCATCATTAGTATGCAGCTCAGGACATCTCCAATAGAAGTGGCCCACCCGGTTACTCGAATCCAAGGTGGAATATCATGCTTCCGGAAATTCCCTCTAGCCCCCCCGCGTCTCCGTGTGCCATCATCAGCATCATCACTGTCATACAACCATGCCAGTTTTTCTATAAAAATACTCGAAAGAAGGGCGAAAAGGGGAGATAGGGGAACCTAAGGCTATCCGAGGTGCTTCCACCTCCAGAAATCGCTCAGACAACGCAAACTTTCGTTAAGATACTTCACTCACCTCTATCATTTCAAATTCTGTCCATCTGTAGGTTTCTGCCATTCCCAATTAGGCACGAAAAACAGCGCTGATTTTGGCAGATGGTAACTTGGCGTGCGTAATACATGGTCCAGCTGCCTTAGCTTGCAATACTGAATGTATTATTTAAAGGAAATAACCTCTGTCCTGCCAAAAAACCGTCACATGATTAAGTATTTACGAATTTCCCGTTCCATTGATTCCAGGTATACTAGTGAGACGCCAGTGATCGAAGATCTGAAGATATCTCAAATACTTCGGTTGATGTGGCCAAGACTCGCAACCGTATAACAACAATATAGTCTGACACATGCGTTCCTTGGAAGCCCCTTTGGACACCACAAGTTGCGCCATTTAGGAAAAACAGTTATGATCGCTGAGATTTGTGCGCCGACCTTGTCTGCTGTACTAACGTCAGAACTAATGCATCTTCTGAGATATCTATAGTGTTCCACAACTTCCAGTGTCCCTCCTTGAATTCATAGTCACGCTTGAAGACAGTAGGTGACTCGGTATGATTTTGCATTTTGTGAGCGCGAACCACGTGCCGAATGACTGAATGACCCTGGATAGCTTTTCTAATAGTGTTTGGTTTCGAAAATGCCAAGACACGCACGCGTTCCGGGGTGAGGAGGAGGGGTTTGACGCGGAACTATCTCTAACAATGTTTAATTTTTTCATTGGATTACTCAGTATCCAGAATATCAGTGCTGAAATTATGCATGTGACCACGTGCAACCGTGATTTTACGCACATGTACACGTTTACTTTCAGCAGACTCAGCAACAACCGAAGTCAAACCAAATAACCGCTGCATATACACTAAATTTTCGTGGTACTGTTTTACAACGAAGTTTATTGAGGTTGTACTGTCGCAGAACGTCTTAACAATGAATGTAGTGTCATGCGACGTAATGATCTATGATCATTCTTGTTTGGAGGACGACCAACGGAGAAATAGCCCTAGGGGAGCAATAGCAGAATCAAGGGAGAATACTAAGTAGCATTCAAAAGTTGATTCCCAGTTCCGGCCTAAATCACCCTCACGTTGAATGATCGTGCACCCTTTTGCGCGTATCGCTAACTTGGAAACCTGTCGTGGTCGGACCCAGAAACCGCACACTCCGATCGCCCAACGGTTGACCGTGACCCCCGGTGCATTATTTAATACGGTCGAAATGCTTTTAAAACCAAAGAGCCCTGTGCTGCTCAGAGGGCACCTGCCGTGCGCAGCCGCATAAGGAGCATGACATTTATACCCTACTCCCTGCGCCCTCAGGCTAGGCCGGCCCCTTAAAGCCACGTGGGCCACACTTTTGGGTCATTGCCTTTGGGAAGGGTCCCTCAAGAAAACCCTAGCGACCGCTGTCTCGAGGTCCAAACTCTCGAGTAAGAGACTAGAGGCAGGGTCCCTAAACAAAAGCACAAATCCGACTGTCTTGAGTCAAAGGCTTAAGGTAGGTACCTCAAATAGACCTCTTTTCTTAGGCCTGGGCAACCAGGAAGTATCATTTGACCTCACAGGTAATCGACCAATCTGCCAACCCCCCAGCCACTATTCTATGTCTGAACTATCGTCCATAAAAATGAAAAAAATCACCTACTAACCTCAAAAGATCTGATCTACGTTGCAGCGTTCAATGTCCGTACTCTGTGTCAAATTGGGCAACAGATTGAAACCTTACTTACCTTCTCTATTGATGTATGTTGTGTCTCCGAAACACGCATACAAGGACCCACCTCGGTCGTTCTCCTCAAGCCGCTTAGGACGAACCCAGATGTCCCTCATTTCATTCTTCGGGCATCCGGTGATCCTAATGCAATGCTCATGGTATTCACAGTGTGGGGGTTGCACTCAGCCCCAAGGCTGAAGGTGCCTTACTGGATTGGATTCCAGTAAACAGTCGCTTTTGCGCTGTGCGGTTGTCTGGCACCATTAAGATTAACATAGGTCGATGTGGAAAACGGTGTTTGTGGTATCAGCATACGCCCCAGCCGACAGCAGTTCTGAGATTGAGGTGGACGAGTTTTATGAACATCTGTCACGACTGCTTCGGTCGGCAAGAAGGACGGATATAGTACTCCTGGCGGGTGATATGAATGTCCAAGTTGAACGACTAAGTCCGGAAGAAGCACAGTTGGGTGGTCGATTTGGAGTCGATGCTGAGCGTACGGATACTGGAGAGCGGCTTTTTCAGTTGTGTGCAGATCATCGACTGTCCCTCACCAGTAGGAACTTCCAACACAAACGCACACACCTAGTCATTTGGAGACCACCTACCACAAGACAGTCGTGGACTCAATTGAACCATACGACTATCAGTTACTGATGGAGAACCTCAGTTAAGGATTGCCGTTCCTTTTGGGGTACGCAATTGGACTCTGATCACGCCATCGTGAGGGCCCGCTTAGCACTTCGCTTTCCGCCAGCACTACTCATGCCGAAAGAGAGCAGCTCTGTTCATCAACTTCGGCAATTTTCAGTAGCTGAACAGTATCGAGCTGATCTGGCTAGAAAGCTACTAGAAACGCACAGTCAATTAGACAACGAAGATTGCTAGGTGGATGAATGGGGGCGAGTTAACGAAGCAGTGCTGTCAGCGTTCAGAAATGTTTGTCCCGCCCATCTGACTCGATTCAACGAACACTGTATATCTTCGAGATCAGCAGATTTTATTGCTACCAGAAAGGTCATACCAGTAACTAGCGACTATGATGGCGCATGCAGATCCCTCAGACACCCAATAATCAGGAGCTTAAAGGATAAAAGAGAACGTAGATGGACTTAGAAGGCCCAGAAGATGGAGAAGGCTTTTGCTCAGGCAACAGCCGCACCGTGTTCCAAATGATCCGATCAACGGGTCAAAAGAAGGCAGGTGTCAGTGAGACAATACGCGAAGAAAAAGGAACGACAATTTACTCACAAAACCGTCATCTTGAGCAACGGGCTTAACACTTCAAAGAGCGGTTCATCTGGTCTCCTTCAACACAACCTATGGAAAAACCTAGCGGGCCTGAATGGAATATTGCTATCAACTCGCCATCGGCAACCGAAATCCAGGAAACGATATCATTCCTCAAGCGCAACAAGGTAACTGAGGGAGATACTCTGCAACCCACACTCTTCAAACAGTGAACAGTCTGACGAACATAATTCAGAAGATTTGGAACGGAAACAGAATACCAACCAAACGGAGCTCCTCGACCGTCACCCCAAATTTCAGAAGTGGAGCAAGAACATCATATGAAAACAACTGTTGTATCAGCATGGTACCCATCGCATCTAAAGTACCCTCTGGCATCACCTTGCGCAGGTTGATGGATTATCGGGAGAGATAGATTCGCGGGAATCAAGTTGGGTCTTGCTCTGCTGGAGCATGCCTCGACAATAGCTTTACCTTGAGACAAATCCTTGAACAGCACCACTCCTTCAGACGTC